GATCTCTCAGTAGTCCTACAGCGAGCTAATTGATAGAGCTTAATGGGGAGGATTGGCTGAAGAGCTTACTATGGTACAGATTGGCCGATATGCTAACAAACGAATAGTCATTTTGTACTATTTCAGTCATTCATCCATTCAGCCATCCACTTCCGCAGTGGTACGAAAAACCTAAAGTTCAGTAGCATTCATCCAAAACAGATTGGACATTAGCTATTTTCTGACTTATAAAATGAGACTAAGACCCTAGCTGCATGCTGGGATAACCAGCAGCCAGTATGACAATGCCATTTGGAAAGAGTGCATCCAAATGTCTATAAATTTAAACCTATCTACGCTAGCTACTCTTTGTTTAGAATTAGGGATACAAAAATCCCAGAACCAAGTAAGGAAAACAGATTATTTGGGTGTACCAGTCGATAAGAATTTCTCATTATTGTGTTAATCCCAACATTTCCTCGACTGTTTTGCAACAGGATAATGCATGAGCATCAATTTTCCATCAACGGAGAAAAAAAGTAGAGGTAGGTAGAGAGCATCAATTCAGGTACTTTTCTAAAGATCACCCAATCTCTTTCATCTACACAATATGACCAATGATCCCCCACCACCTAACAGGAGGCGCTGATAGTGTCCAACTTGCAATAAAAATAGTTCCGGCGAGATATCCCCAAAAGAGAACGATGGCAAGAATGATTAAATTATGCCTAACCATATCCCAATATTGAGTGGCCATTATCGAAGGAATTTGAAGGAGCACGGGACAAGGTGTAGTGTGTATTAATTCACGTCCTTCTTAAGGTCAATCTCAAAATAGCTTTACTTTAAAACCTTTTAAACATAGTTGGTATGCATAACTTTTACTGAAGTTCAAAGGTGGGCATTGCAAAAAGATGAATTTAAATAACTCACTCGATGGAGTGTTCAATTGGGTTGGCAAGAACTCTAATAAGTATCGGTTTGTAAAAATTATGACTCAGTACTTGGTTTGGTATTTTAGTATCTAACTGCTCTGACTTCTCTTTGATGCTGACAGGAAATAGTTTCACAGTCAAACTTTGTTTTAGCAATCTACGTGGATTAAATGAAGGACTAGGTTCGTCATATATAACTTAAAGCAGGATTTGACAGTTTAACCGGCAGAGATGTCATATGCATGTCATTATGAAGGCTTTGTCCTTTTAGTTGGAAGCACTATGCTAAAAGCTTAAGTAAAGTAATATTTACTATAAGAGGCCAAAACTTACTGAATAATTTCTACTTTCACATCTTAAAACTATTTTGAGCATGGTCTTTATATTTCTTTACACACCTATCAATAATCCTTGGATGAAGTCGAGCTTTGTGTCTGCAAATCTTATATAT